GATATGACCCTTTGAGGAATATTCAAATCTTGGGCGATCTCCGTTTGTGTTTGATTTCCTTCGATTCTACCAATTATTTGCCACTTTTGACCTTCACTTAATTATGCCTTTGAGTCATAATTACTGAATATTGATTACTTTCAGAAACAACATTCACTTTAAACAACACTACAGAGTGGAATTACATGTATCCATTGCGCACCACATTGTCAATGCCTGAATTTGCATATTTCTGGCATTTCTGATAGAAATGCAATTTTGTGTTCAATTGTATTTTATTAACGTAAACGATTACAGAATATGAACTTGGTTGCAACATTAACTTAAGTGAGCATATTTTTTCTCATTATCCTTTAATTTTGATAAGCAGTGTATAGAGAACGTATGAAAAACTGAATATTTGATAAAGATTTAGTATAAGAGATTTTTTTTTTTTTTTTTTAATTTACGGTCTCTATTTTTTTCAAATAAAACGAAAGGATAGATTAGAGTACAGAAATATAGTGCCTCCGCAAAGCCATGGTGCACTTTTTACCGGTCACAGGAAAGCAACAAAATAAGATAGAAATGTGAAATCTTTACCAAATAAAAGGAAAACTCTCCAAGTTTCCGTAGTTTTATGTGCAAGCATGTGCACACACATGTGATGACGCAGCACCGTGAACTGCGAAGGAGCAGATCAGCCCTTCCACTCCCACGCCACTCGAAATGTGGACCGTACAGACAAAAGTTCAGTGTCTTCTGTGGCTTGCTAAATTCGAATCCGTGACCAAAATGGAATGTGAATATCGTCACGTGTACAACGAACCGCCACCACATAGAAATAACATTAATCGGTAGGATAAGCAGTTGAAGGATACCGGCAGTTTGTTGGACAAACCCCGTTTGGGCAGGCCATCGGTCAGTGACGAGTCTGTAAAGGCTATATGGAAGAGTTACTTAAGAAGGCCTTACAAATTGCAAGTGTTGCAGGCTATCAAACCGACGGATAGAGCCAAACGATTTGCTTTTGCTACAGATATGCTTCATGAGGTCGACAGTGATAACCGATTTCTGCAGAAGATTGTGTTTAGCGATGAGGCGACATTCCCTGTTAGTGGACATGTTCATCGCCAAAACATCCGAATGTGGTCTGCTGAAAATCCTCATCACTGAATAGGTATGAAACTTTAAAAGATTTTCTTTTGTTTGGTGAAGATTTCACATTTCTATCTTGTTTTTTTCCTTTCCTGTGACCGGTCAAAAGTGCACCATGACTTTATGACCGGACACTCTGCATATATAAATCATTTTTACCCATTATATGTATAGCAGTTTGACGTTTCGGAGATAATAAAATATTAGAAATACCCGAGGTTTCTTCCGACAAGCACAACCTAAAAGACGGTTTCTGATTCCCGAAAAACTTACCAAGCCAGCTTTATTCATTAAGATGCAGATAGATTTATGAAATAATTGTGCGTCTTTCGTAAAGATGCCGTAAATTTAGTTCATTCCCTGCTTAAGTAATTAATCAGCAACAACAATAATTGGCATTCCCTGTTCTGCGAACTTGATCGCACTACAGGTTCACCCACTCCTTAAAACTAGAGTCGGAGGTTCAACCTCCTTTTTGGCCCCTCAGACAGGGTAGCGCACCGCCCGGGCAGTCACCCGGAACGGCACTGGTCGTCATTTGCTACCCACCAGTCGCTCGGGCTTCCCCGTCGCAGCGGGTCATTACCCAGCATACCTGGGGGAAGTTCTCCGGGCTACTAGTTCCACGCCGCGTTTAGGACGTGCCAGACCCCGACGCCGGCCAATAAGTGACCTTTTCCGAAGCCCTTCAGAACCATTAAGTTCATAAATTTTATACCCCCGTGGCCGAGACTGCCTAGGTACAGATCCTAGACAGTAACTTCGCAGAATTCTCTACGTCGACCCCGGTAATTAATCAGCAGTTAAACCGAAATCGATTTGCATATGGTTGCACACACCTTTATGAAAACCACCAGATATGCCAGAATGCCTTTATGAAATCGGACGCCATAAGAGTGCCGACGGTCATTTTCAAGCGAGACACTTGTGCACATTCCCTTATGCTTTGGCACCGTTAAAGAAGACTACTGTCTTTTCGAACAGCCGTAGACTTGCAAAAAGATGCAAGACTTATGAAGACGTCCCTAAACTGACTATAGAATGTGATTATTCTCATTCTATGTCTCCCTAATATTTGTACAGATATGTAGACTTATATAAGAAAATAACAATAAAAGGACTAAATTGGTTTAGTCTTCCTCTGCCATCAACAAATACGTGATTATTTACTAACTGTAACTGTATAAGACGCCACAAAATTCAAAAACCTAAAATTTTCTGCAAAGGTCAAGCAAAAAGATGTATTTAGTCATCGAAATATAAGTCGTTTATGTACTGTTTGAAAGAAACTCGTCTGAATATTCACTTTTGAGGCATATAGTGCATAGACAGGCGACTTGAGAGCTTTATTTGAAAGTTAAATGTGCTTAAGAATTATCTTTAGAGACTTACGCCACCAAGTAAATAAACCCGATGTTAAAAACCGCAACCCAAAGTCACTACTTTATTTTACTTTATTTTATATTATTTATTTATTTATTAATTTTAAAAACTACACTTAGTTTTTAAAATTCCATTTACTTTAAATTTTCCAGTATTAGTTAAATACACCAATAAAGAACGACAAAAGTTTCATTCACCTCGTTAGAAATACTGCATAGGATGCACTGTAATAAATAATTAAAAAAAACTTTAAAAAAAATATCTGAAATATCTGAAAAATCTGAAAGTTTTCAGATTTTATATTACGCCCAAAGACTCTTTTTTTTTTTTTTTTAAACATTTTGTGTTTTACCTTTATTTATTAAATATCATATTTGCTCTTAAACCATAAAATTTAATTCAATAGCAATATCATAAAATAATTTTAAAAGACCATATCTTTAGAATTTTCGATACACAGTTTCGCGCGCTGGAGATAAAAATGTATTCCCCCCGTACACGGCTGCCATTGCTCGCTTTAAAATCGTTGAGTTTTTTTAATCAAAAACTCATAAATGCTTTGCAAAATATGAAATAGGTAACAAACCAAATTCCACATTTCAAATTTGGCTTTCCAGATGCCCATATACGGGTGGAGGATTACGTTATTCAAAATTGGATGATTCTATGTACCGTTGTTTTATCATAATATGAGAAACATTTATGCAGATGCTTAATTATTTAATTTCTTTAAATATAATACAGGGCGATAATATTTGGTGCAACAATTTGAAAAGTGAAACGCCCTTTATAGTGAAAAGCCACAAAATGGCAAAGCGAAATTAATCGCCCTTTTGGGCTAACTATACCGCCTTGCATTGCTTCTATACATCATTTATTCATTAATTAATGGATTTATAATGTGCATTTTAAACTATTTTAAACTGTATCATGTCATATGTACATTTATTTTTAACTGGCATAATATTTTCAATGTATTTTACCGCAAACATATTAGTCCATACCTTTGTATTCATCATTACTGTAATCTGCTGTAAATTACTGTATTTTTGTCATCCTATACTGGATTTTTATCATACTGAACCGTATTTTTATCATATTATTATCTCTCTATAGTTATATGTTTGACTTTTGCTCTTTTATTTCTCAGGAGTTTATCCTCGCGCTGTGTCATGTATTATGTATAATGGTTTGGTTTATTAGATTACGGCAAAGCACTCGAGGGCTATCTGCCTTAAGGGAGGGATGCCTTCGTGGAGGACGTTTTAAGGGAAACTGGCTCGTATATACGTTACACATGGGGAAAACCACGAAAACGCCCATGCAGCCAGCCCGTTCGCGGGATTCGAACCTCGGACCGAACTACCAGTGTTCAGCGACGTTACCGCTCGGCCGCTGGTGGGCTATTATGTATAATGATATATCACTTGTTAGAAGTCTTATGCAATAACATATATGACTTCGTATTTACATTGTATTATGTTAAATGTATGGTAACTTAATATTTACACAAATGCAACAATTTTACTGCCAAGGTATACCACAATTGTTTGTAATCAATCATTCATTTTCAATTATGTACTCACGTATTTGAATTAGTGTTGTCTTAAGGGTTCTCTAGATCATGGTGGACGTGATGCTATACTCATTAACCGTATGGTAGAGGCATAGTGCCCACGTCCCCTGTTCCTTATCCTTATCCTTTTGGGCTAATTAACTGATTGATATTTTCTATCACCTCGAAAACGTTCTTATCATTCATAAGAGGAGGCGAACACAGTAGCTTATTATTTACATACGGCCTCATCAAATCTTTTAAAAGCAAATCTATAACATTTTCTTTCAAATGAATCACAGCATTATATACAATCATGTTTAAAACACACGGAATAGTTAAATTAATTTAAAACACTCTTTAAAAATTTATAATATAAAATTTATAAATATAACCTAACGTCAACCAGCGGATCTGCTCAAATTAAAAGAGTCTACTGTATTTAAAATAAAATACGTTTTCAATTTCTTTTACTTCAGTTTCCCCTGATCTTCTTGCTTCAAAGATTTATTTACAAAACATTTCCGATAAAGCCAAATTTACATGTGATTAGTATTTGCTCTTATAAGAATCATATATGCTGATGAAATTTAAAACTGTTATCTAAAATTTTAAAGCAAGAATTTTTTTTTCCCTGGTGTACTTCAAAAGTTTATTTTAAGAGATTCATCACACAACTGGCAACACTGCATTTTACCGACTTGCGCAGACAGACTGCGCAGACCCCAGACAACCATAGCTGTCTGGGGTTCCGGTGTTTGAAATCATTGCGGAAATTCGCCAAGGTGGTAGTTTGTATTAAATCTTCGGTGCTGAAAAAAAATTTGTTTTTGATAGAACAACGAGAAACGTACCTCGTGGTTAAAACCAGAAATACTGGTACCAAGCTAATTTTTCTTAATAGTTTTTATTTTGTGTTATCTAGACCCTCACCTGACGAAGGAGTTCACCATCAAGTGCTATGGCCTCCCAAGTCCATTATTATGTGCACTTGTGCGTTTTCTGTGCTATGATGATGTGTTCGAGATGCCACTCGACTGTAGCACAGAAACCTGACGACCTTCATCCAAGTGGTGAACCCCATGTTCCCCACGTATCAGATCATCGTTTCTTTCTGCAAGAGATTTTCACCAAGTATGGCCACGATGGGCAAATGACCTTCGAAGGTGAGTTCTTTATATTATTATTTTTTGGTTTCACACCACTCTCCTTCTACACATATTTTGTGGTAGGAGAGTTTTTAAAATGCCCGAGGTGTAATTTAGAATATGTCCTGTATTCAGTCATTTCGAGTCTTGTGACTTATTGATAACTTCTTTTTACACATGTTGGTTGAGAGGTATAGGATTCATTCTTTAGTCTCTCAGCTATTTTTGTAATTTTCGACATTTTGGCGATAAAGGTTACTAGCTAGGACTTTAGCAATAATTTGAGAAGTACACAGGTCGAATCGCAGATTATTTTGTCTCAGAGAAATGAGAGGTCATGAGACATGTAATGTGACATTTTCCGGAAAATTCCGATTGTGATTTTAGCTAATAAGCACTTAAGAAACAATTTCGCTGCTAAAGGGCAAAATCGCCCACTTATTTGTTTGGCGCTTTTTACAAGAGTAAGAAGAATTGGATTTTTGTCAATTTTCTTTGACTTTTTAAGTGAAAATGGCTCAATGTGTACATAGATAAAGTTAAGAGTGTGCGCAATGCGATTTTTGTGCAATTCTGGGATTTTTTTTAAGTGAAAAATAGGTCGACGTGTACATGGCTACCGTGTATGTGGAATTCTTAAAAACGCGTGAAGCAGTGGACGATTCTACACTTTCTCCCAGTTTCGCACCTAATCTTCGTGATGATTAAGCACTTTTGTTCCATCCATAAAAGTTCTAGTATAAGCGTAATTCGGCTAGCAGATTGTTGGAAAAAATGTTGAGTAAAAAAAAAAAAGCCTTTACTTCGTGAAAACAAAATGGAGTCCAAAAAAAAAAAAAATCGCCAAGTTACCATAATGTAAAGATTCACCATAAAAATCTTCTGGATTTGTACGAGTTTTGCGAGAATGTGAAGTTCTTAGTACATGATTCGAAGTTGAATTCGTACCGTACACGTTGTATAACATGATTTATATTATTACCTATGAGTTACTTAAGCATTTGAGCCATCAAGAAAAATTAAACTCTAAACATGCAAAGGTATAAGTAAGATCGGCTTAAATATATCGAAAAGTACATGTTATTTCTCAACGATTAATATCAACCACTGCTCATATTTCCTTGTTTTAAACGTAAGTTAATACTAGTTCAGATATTAAGGCACTTTTATTCATAGCACCATATTCAAGATGATAACAAGAAACGTATTTCATTTTATTTACGTCCACCACCGGCCAAGCAGTAAAGTCGCTGAACACTGGTAGTTCGGTCCGAGGTTCGAATCCCGCGAACGGGCTGGCTACATGGGCGTTTTCGTGATTTTCCCCATGTGTAACGTGAATACAAGCCAGTTTCCCTTAGAAAGTCCTCCACGAAGGCACCCCTCTGCATAGGCAGATAGCCCTAGTGTGCTTTGCCATAATTAAATACACCAAAACCATTTTATTTACATCATACAAGTTCATACTCTATTAATGACAATTTGCAAGGAACCTCGAACAACGGGATTAAGTGACATCTTATTAAAATACGTTTTAATTTGTCTTATAAGTATAAACTGTTACGCTGTTGTTATAAATAATATCTTCGATAATATTTAATATCTTTTATGTCGGCTTGCAGAAGGTGGACCAACTTTGCTCAAAAGTAACGTGGAACTAGTTTTTTTGGTTTTTAAAGAAACATTTCCGCCTTTTGAATACAAAAAATTAACGAACAGTTCTCGAGGATATATTTCATGAAGTTAGGAACTGTTCTGTTGAATTTGACGTTCAACAGAATTTTCAGGAGTGCTCATTTAGGCCATAAACAAGGCTTGAAAGAGATATTATCTACATTGTTTTACCAGTGCTTCTTGCTTCTGAGCATTTATTCATTTAGATTTTACCAGTGTCCAAGTGGATGAGACCACTGAATACTGCTAATTCGGTCTCCCGATTCCCACGGAAAACGCTGGCCATACGAGGTTTGCGTGTTTTTCTGAGTGTATAATGTGAGCCAAGCATTCATTTTGCCAAAATCAATTCTTAACTTCTGTTACTCGTATTTCCATCCGCTTGTGCCCTCAAAAGCCGCTGATTACTGGAAGTTCGACATGGATTCAAATCCTGGCGGGAGTGTTCACTGCATGGCCTTATTGATTATATTTGTGATATATTGCAAGAAAGAGTTAATAAATTTAAAATTTCCAGCAGAAATAATCTTGGAGAATAACTTAACCCAATGGGAAGCGAAAGAAATCTGTCATAAACTTGGGAAATTCATGACAGAATACTCTTTCAAGGTCGTAAAAAATGGAGACCCAACACTTTAATAAAGTACTTTTTTAATAGTTTTATTTTAAACACATTTATGTGCCCCGATACTTTCATATACATAAGGACAGTATTAATTTAATATTTATTTAACATTATTTTTAATAAATTTGAATATTTTTCGGTTTTTTTAACTACAAGATATGGCATGCACTAGTGGCCAAGCTGTAAAATCCCTGAACACTGGTAGTTCGGTCTGAGGTTTGAATATCACGAACGGGCTGTATGCATGGGCGTTTTCGTGGTTTCCCCGTGTGTAACGTGTTAATACGAGCCAGTTTCCTATAGAAAGTCCTCCACGAAGGCATCCTTTCCGTCCGTGTAGTTCGTTAGGGCGGAACACGTAAACAATAATAGAAGATATGGCATAGTAGATAAGTATTTCGATTAAGTCAAATATTTAACCATTCTTTTAAAAGAGGTTTGAAAGCTTGTTGTACCTCGATAATCTTCTGACTCACGGTATGGACACTCATTTTTCACAATTCATCTTTATAAATCATCGAAGCAACCTACAGTGTTTCAATGCACGGTTCTATTAATACACTGCATATGTTTGCGAAAATGTTTCGGACGATATAACAAAGGTATTTCAAAAGAACTGAGTTAATTCTGGGGGAAGGATTATTAGGATTAAAGAATAAAAAATCTATTAAAATAGCAATTTTATATACATATTTTTTATGTGTATTTTCTTGATAATTTTCCTAAATCTGCCGTTATTACGCGTTCATCCTTCTAGAAAAACTTCACAGCTGAAATGCGTAGAAATTTCGAGATCACCTATTTTGTATCCATAAGATCGGTCTTAGTAATAACTTGATTAAAAAATGGTATTTGAATATCAACTGTTACCAGCATTTTTTTTTCATCACTTAGTTTGCAAGCCATTATCTTTCTTGTAGTCATTACGGAAAGTGGAAATTTTCTTGGAAATATTTGAGGTTAATCTTTGGATTATGGTAACTTGGCGATTTTTTGGCGAAAATTTGGCAATCAACCCTGCTAGTTTTTTTTTTTTTTTTGGGGGGGGGGGGACGCCATTTTGTTTTCCCGAAGTAAAGGCTTTTTTTTTTTTTAACTCAACATTTTTTCCCAACAATCTGCTAGCCGAATTACGCTTATACTAGAACTTTTATGGAACAAAAGTGCTTAATCATGACGGACGAAGATTAGGTGCGAAATTGGGAGAGAAAGTGCAGAATCGCAAACTGCTTGCGCTTGCCGCGTTTTTAAGAATTGCACATACACGGTATCATCCATGTACTCGTCGACCTATTTTCACTTAAAAAAACATCCCAGAATTGCACAAAAATGCCATTGCGCACGCTCTTGACTTTATTCATGTACACTGCTGAAGTCCTAGCTAGTAACCTTTATCGCCTTACCAAAATGTCGCAAAACTACCTGTTACCATATTCCAAAGATTAGCCAAATTGGATTTTTAATTTTATATATATTTATCGATTTATTTGTTAATGTTGTTCTTATTGGCTAAGAAAAGTGAAAATGATTTTTTTTTTAAATTTAAGCTTTAAACTATTTTGAGAAAAGGCATATTTGAATAGCGTAATTTGTTTTATGGTAATCATGCTCTCGCCGAAGCTTTCCATGGCTATGTTAGTTCTAGTATTTAAATTTTAGATTTGGTTAAAGAGGATGGCTTCTTTTCTGTTCCAACGTAAATTTCAGAACAGTTATAGCACGCGAATATCTACGTTAATCATTGTTTTGGTAACCCTTTTAGTTAATCTTTGGAATATGGTAACAGGTGGTTTGGCGACATTTTGGTAAGGCGATAAAGGTTAAACTGAGTCATAGACTGTGATTGATCCTACTCTACTTCCAAAAAATTTGACCCTTAAATTATTTGCTTAGTTATAAAAGTTTGAAATTTTACATTTTGATCAAAAATACATGTTTTGGTTTCATTTAAGAACTGCAGAAATGCTGCACTTTACTTTTAAGAAATTACAAACTGCATAAAAACCCTAACTTTACCTAATACATTAGCAATACGCCGAAACAAAGCCAGATTCACGTAGCTATGCCACACATATTCCGGATATCGTGATTTGATATTGTAAGTTTTTTAATCATGCAGATTTTTGTAATATTTTTGTAAAGTATATATATAAAAAAACTATAAATTTCAGTGATTAACTTATGCAGTCGTAAGCACTAAATTGTTTGATTTTATTCATGTAAGTATATGTCGTACCAAGTTATCAAGGTGTGTACCCAGAAGAGGTTCGGAAACTATTTTGTTCTCTTTATCGCTCATACGTCAAAGCTGACACTGATCATGATAAATCCGCGTTTTAAGAAAATTAAAAGACAAACTGAAGCCAAGGCCTACCAGCGGCTGAGCAGTAAAAGCCGCTGAATACTGGTAGTTCGTTCCTGGGTTCGAGTCCCGGCGAATGGGCTGCCTGCATGGGGGTTTTCGTGGTTTTCCCTTTCCCCATGTGTAACGGGGGATACAAGCCAGATTCCCTTAAAAAACCTCCACGTGCCATTCCTCCCTCCTTAAAAAAACCTTCACGGGCCCAGAGCACGTAATAAGTAAAAAAAAAAAAACTTGAATCCAAGTAAGAAATCTGCCTCATTCTTTTCCCTCAAAGAGGCCCACCAGCGGCCGAGCGGTAAAGACGCTGAACACTGGTAGTTCGGTCCGAGGTTCGAATCCCGCGAAAATGGGCTG